GATGTGCGATGTAGGACGTACAATGGTACATTCTATTTAACTTGACGCGAAATCACTACAGTACGCGCTGCAACTCGTCCGCTGACTTGCCCGCGCGACGGGCCTCCTGTCGGGTACCCGACCACCGCAAACGCTAGTCATCACTTGTGCCTTCGACTTGTATTCTACGTTGTTACTCAATTGTATTAGGAGTTGTTTGTAATTTGAAGCGAAGAAATATTTTATTGTTACAGTAAGGTTGGTCCCGCATAAAACAACGTGCGTCAGGTGGAGCCGAAACCTTATGGAACGGGACACCAGACATTCTTGATTTTAGCTCGGCCCACTTTATTCCAGATTCACCAATAGTAGCACCACCCAGATGAGAGCACGCACCATTTCTTTGGGTGGGGCTGCGCTTGCGTCACCCACAAAGAGTCAAGCGAGGTTCATACGAAAAATAACAAGGCGTAAGTATGCAAAAAGAAGGGGGCTTTTTTTTTTTTGCACAAAGGCGCATATTACCCGCTGCGAAGGAGCCGGAATCCTGGCATGTACGGCCCTTGGCCAACCCCAGGGTCAAGCGAGGCGTCGAGGAAAATTCGGAAATACGACCCCCCCCTCCCTCTGCCGAAGGCCGAAGTCCATGAAACAACCCTCTTTAAAAGCCGAACTATGAAAAAGTTGTTTAATTCTCCACCAAAACTGCTCATAAAAAAGCCCTGCTACCCCATCGTCCACAAAAAAACTCGTTTAAAAAGTATAAAAGTGAAAAAGTCAAAGAATGATCATTAATGACGAGTCCTGTCAAACGAGCAAACGAGAAACGGAGCAAAAAACGTCAAACTAGAAATGGCGTAGTATGGCAAGGGTGTGGGTACTTAGGACAGAACGCGACTTTTTCGCTCTTCGCAACGCGACATCGCGCGGCAGGCTGGCGCACCCGTAGCGAAAACAACTACGGTATATAAGAACGCGCGATTGGAGCAGCTTTTTTTGCATGCGTGAATTTGTAAGTTTCTGATTCCTTACTTGCCCGCGCTCACACCCATTGTATTGATAAATGCGGTGAATCACTAATTCTGTCTCATTATTGAAAACGTTTTGTGACTTACACGATTCCGGGCGATGCCACTAAAATGGTGTTTTACGAATTATCGGTGAACGAGGGTTTAATAGTGTCGCTTGTGCTTGCATTTTGTGGGTTCATATTGTTGTATAGACATCTGCATAAGGGTATAACATCTTTTACGGAACGCTTCTGTCCTCATTACGGATATGATACTCATTTTGGACGCTGGCGCCATTTGGGGCCAGGTGGCGCCACAACTGTTTCCCACTAAATTCGCTGTTAAACTTCTGTATAGGGGTTATTCGGGGTCCTGATTTGTTGTTAGCGCTATTCGGCGCCTGCTTCCTGCTCGTCTGCGCCCTCGCACTAATTAGATCGCAAGTAGGACTAAGCCTTTGAGTAGTGTAGGGCTCCAAAGTGGGTAGGCCATTCCCCTGTGGTGTGACACACTCCAACTTTTGCCACACGGTGCGTGGTTTACCCACTCCGGAGTTTCACTCCCCTCCCCTAAGCTTAGTCGTAGGCGCTGTAGGTGAGAAAGCTTAGAAAAGCAGAAAGTATGCGTTAAACAGCACGAATGTGAAAAATGAGTGTCATATTCATGATCAGGGCCCCAAATAACCCCTATGCAGAAGTTTACAGTCGTCTCATCAAACGTCCATCAACCATTCCTCTTCCAGGTTCTCCAGAAGCTCTACCATCCATCTCTGCAAAAATAACCTACCTCCCTCTTCACTGCTAGTTAGCGGTCCACTTCTGGTTACCATTTCCTCGTTCATTATCAAATCCATGGCTATTAAGCTTCAAACTCCTTGTCGCAATCAAAGCCGACACAAATATCGCGCTCCAATCGCGCGTTCTTATATACCGTAGTTGTTTTCGCTGCGGGTGCGCCAGCCTGCCGCGCGATGTCGCGTTGCGAAGAGCGAAAAAGTCGCGTTCTGTCCTAAGTACCCACACCCTATGGGGTTGACAACACCTCTTCTTTGTTTATTTCCTCCACAAGACTTACCAAATTCTAGTACTACACAGATTATGGTTCTCAATTTACACGTCCCCCTTTCGCTCAAAGGAAGCCTTGTAAAAGCCTTCGCCAGCTGTGTGTTGACTGGACTTTGGCGTTGACCGTGGAGCAGCTTATTTACTATTGAAATTTGAACAAATATTCAAATGATTATAACTTTCTTCAAAGTTAACGAATTTTCAATCTGAAAGCTGATTTGGGAGTTTTGTGAAGAGCTTTTTCTAATCAGTACTGAAATTACAGGAAGTTATAAGAAATAACAAATTTAGATCAAATAACGAGGAAAATTCGAGACGAGCACGAGTTTTTACACTTTCCGGAGCAATAACTTGCTTCATTTCCGTCAAATTCAAAAAGTTGATACGTCATACAAAACTAGAAGATTTTCTCTATCAAACGGTCGCTAAAGCAGCTTCATACGTCCAGTACTCAAAAAATGGCCACGTTGAGGATTTTGCAAAATTAACGAGGAAAATTCGTGATGAGTGCGAGTTTTTACGCTTTCCAAAGCCATAACTCCGTTCAAACTCATGCAATCTGGAAAGTTAATACGTCATCATAAACTAGAAGATTTGCTCTTTCTAGAGGCAACTAAAACTGCTAAATACGTTCACTATTTAAAAAATGGCCACGTTGAGGATTTTTGCCCGAGTACCGCCGAAAGGTACTTTTTCGCTACATTAGCACTATCCCAACGACTATAGCTCCTTGCAGGAGCGATTACATACTGAAGTAGGAGCAGATTCAAAATCCTCGTGCTTTTCTCTCTGCAAAAAGTGTAAAATTGTTTAGCGGGTCTCAACTTTAAAGGTTACATGCTTGTGAATTTGACGCTGAAGGCTGCGTTTCTTGTTGAATAGTGTACTCCTCTCTGTAATTTAACATGAACTCTTTCAGAACCCTCTTGATTCTTCCTGAATTAAGATTCGTTATCAAGATAGCCGTAGCTGAAGCGCGCGCAACCAACTGGGCCCACTCTGGGATGCGCCGTGTGCTTCACATCTCGTTGGATTTGAGGACCTACTTGAAAGATAAAATATCCCTAGAAAACGTGCGAATTTCGGATCCTTTGACTTGTGTGGTGATGAAACACTAAAGTCACTAAGAATTGCTAAGCGGACACCTCTAAATCACGAAGATTTTGTGTGGACGGAATCAATTGTTATTGGAAATACTCTGGCCTGGTATCGATTCGATCCTTAATGTTTGTCCTCCGACGATGATCCTACTGTATCAATCGGGCCCGATCTCTCCCCAGCGGGCCAATACGACCCCCCCCTCTGTGACATGTCGAGGATTCCTCAACGCACGCTTGACCCTGCCCAAGTCTTCCATCTCTCCTGCTGCGGTTACTTGTCTGGGGATAAAAACATCGGAGAATACATTGGCAGACTCCCACATGTTTCTGTAGGGTCAGCCACATTCTGGTTTCACTGCGATTCTGAATGGAAGTGAAATGTGTGGCGCATCCCGAAAAGGTAGTGATGATCGTCAAAATAAGTCTAGTAAACATCGCTTACATATTTACAGGGCTTCCCACAAGGGGCCTCTGTATCTCATCAGCAAGATTGGTCCCCACCTTTAAGTATTCTTTTCATCGTTTGATGTAGTTCGACAAAGGAACCTTGTTTCTTGCAGCATAAATAAATGCTCGAGCGATGCCAGACTCGACTCAGAGTGTCTGGGTTATTCTTTAGCCTAGGCGCAACTACGAGTGAACCAAAGTGACCATTTCCTTGAGAGTGAGCGTATAGATGTTAAGAAACCCTCAGTGACGGAAAAAGAAAACCATGAATAAGCATCGAAAGCTTCCTTCCTCTTCCACCTTGTGGCAAAAAAATTAGTTGGGAAGAGCGTATACGAAGTTATACGAGTTTTTTAAACATAGCCTTCAAGTGCCACGTTGTAATCCACGTCTGATAATGGGTGAGCGCGGAAGCACGTGCATTTTGCAGCAGTGTTCTCTACACCATGTTCTCTACATCATGGATTCACTCAAGACTTGTCGAGAGATACATATAAGCCCCTTCTTAAACAAGCTCCCCAAGTACGGTGCTCCCTTCTCTCGCAATCCGTCAATTTTGCTAAAATTATGGGCGCAATCGCATCTGATGGAGACGATGGGAGCACGCAATGATTCGAAAACACATCACACTATAAATGGCAAACATCGCCGTAGCTCACGAACCATAAATGGTTCGTGAGCTTTTTTTCGTGGGGGAGAAGTTAGGGCGTGCGGGATGGCTGTCGTTGTGGCATCTCATATTCCACAACCTAACCTCCTCGCTCACTAATTATTGGTGGCCATATTGCTTTACTCACCATCCGCACCACTTTTAACACTGAGCTGAACACATTGATTATGAGATAAGGCAACAGCTTCGACGCATCGCACAAACTTACAAGTATACCACATGGAACAACTGCGACGTGACGCGTTCCCAGGACGCGCTGCCTCAAGTGAAGAAATGCGAGTGTTTGTGAGCAGGGTGAAAATCGGTCGAAGAACGGCAACTGCTCGTCGGGAAGTGATTTCGTCGCCCGCGCACATCACTCTCGCTGCCGCGAGCCGTCTGGGCTCTCCGCGGTACCTTCACTCACGACATTACTCTGGCACAAGTAGGGAGCCATGGTTGAGGAGTTCCTCGACTGTTGACCTTGTGTGTAGGTCCAATAATTACTGCGTTCAATCCACATTTTTGTTTTAGGCTTCGCTCATAGTCGAAGCTGATTTTAAGATTTGTTAAAAATCGTGTGTTAGTACATTGCTCATAGTGGAAGCTGATTTGAAAATTTTGTTAAAATCGTGTTATTACATTATCGAGAACGGCTCGCAGCTGTGAACTGGATTTATTTTTCTGCGAATACATTGAGGTACAACAATAAAACAAAAGAAATTGGTGAAATTGTGGGTTATTTCGGCGATCAATGGCGTCGTCTTCCTTCTCTCATCTTTACTCGATCATCGTGATAAAGCTGATTCAATTCGGCTCTGACGCTCTCACTAGCCTCCATGAATATCTGAATTACATCTCATTTGAGTCAATATATTACTTATTGGTCTTCAATTCAGTTTTTTTGCCCTTTCGACTTGAAGTAATCTTGCTTGGAAACGAACATGTGGCAAAGGTAAAAGATACAGTATCAATACCACTGCCCATGTCTGCGTAGACCGCGATCGGCGCCTAAGCAGTATGATCTTTCGGAGTTGGGCAGCTGTTGTTGCTCACCCACTATGAACTCTCGGGTTCCACATGGTGCCGTAGTGGCGCTGAAGGGCGGGGAAATAGGAGAGGAGTAGGAGAATGGTTATGAGAGGAGGAAAGCCGGCCACTAATGGACCTAAGGTCCTACTAACTATTGAGATGTCTTCTCACTATCTCGTCTGATCTCATGTTAGAATGAGGCAACACCTAATATTATCTATACAACACCTTTTTGTGCATTTGCATCCCCTCCATGAGATATCGGTGACACAAGTGGAAGGATGCAGAGGAGAAGGCGTCAAGAATGCGCTAGGAAAAGGGAAGTCCTGCCAGTTAGGGGAGGACAAATCCGGCACAATCAAGTCTTGTATGTATAATTTAATATGAAAACTTGGGTGGCTTCTTATTTCTCCTTACCTTATGTCTTTCCTCTCGAAGTTTCGTGAGTTTTTCATGAGCAGCACGTGCTTCTGGTGTCAGTTGTTCTACCTAGATGGAGCATAGATACGGAAACACAGTGTAAGCTTTACGATCTCTGAAAATTACCTTCTTTTGGAATTCCTCTCTTCGCCGCTGAAGGGCAGCATGGAATTTGTTGAACTCTTTGAGCTG